AAAGTAAAGATGAGAAGAAAGAGAGAATCATAAAATCACAGACTGGTTTGGGTTGGAAGGGACCTTAAAGATCATCTAGATCCAACCCCCTGCCTGGGCAGGGACACCTCACACTGGATCAAGTTGCTCAGGTCTCCATCCAACCTGGCCTTGAGCACTTCCAGCATTGATTTAGGAACTCCAAGCAGGGTGAAAAGGAGCCTTCCCTGATCCATTCAGTGTATGGTTGCCAGTATTGGTAACAGGCTCCCAAGAGGAAGGGTGGTCAATGAATTAGGAAACCAATACATTTCTGGAAAGAGAGTTTTTCAAATTCAGCCATTTCTTTAGGAAGTGTGTGCGGGGAAATTCTGCTTCTCATATGTCAAGTACTTGAAAGACTAAAAATAGATAACTGGAATAAATAAATCAACCCAGAAGACAGGACTGATGCTCTGCAGGCATCAGGGATTAAATAAAGTCACTAAATTCAACGTGGTATTCCAGATAAGAACTCTTTGTGTTGCAGCATGTACAGCTTATTGATTATAGGATTGAGGTGCTGGGCACTCTTGTAAAATGTACTCTGGGTGATCTGGCTTAATCCCACAGTAACATACAGCCTGGTGCCCAAAGCATGGAGATACCCTCTCTTTTCTTACTTCTTTTAACTTTGCTTTGTGTCTTAATTTGCCACACAGCATCTGTGCCCTCTCCCACTAGTACTTTATGCTTAGGATGGGTGACCAGGGCATTTCAGAAGGTGTTGAGTCAGCTGGGCTGCCCAGTGGAAGCCTGTAGGACACAAGCCATGGGAATCTTCCTTGGTTATCTTCTTCCACAGGGCTGGAAAGCCTGAGCACTTTACTTTTCCTTTGTGTTGCTCAGACTGGCTAAAAGGATGGGTTGCCCAGTTGTTGCAGGGATCCTTGAAGAGCAGCTCAGGTGGAGATGCTTGTTCTGCTGACCTCCAGGTTTTGTTATGGGAGTCCACCGAGGCAGGAGAAGTGTGTCACACCCAGGAGAGCACACTGCCTGTCCAGAGATATTTTCTTCTGGACAAAAAGGAAAAGTAGAAAGTTTTGTAAATCCTGTGAAGGTTTTTCTACATCTACTTGGTTGAATTTTGGTTCATTTCCAATTCACCTGCTTTCCACAGTAGAGGGTCCTTTCACGCTCCTGGTCAGGTGTTGAACTGCCAGGGTCACTTCACAGTGGTTCAGAAGGACATTTCTTTCCCCCTTTGGAAGCTCTCTGCAGCTCAGCCTAGCTCTCCTCAGCAGGTTGCTCTGAAGAGCCAGCAGACCTCCCTAAACATGGACTTTTGCCACCAACTTTCCTAAGAAATTAAAAGCCCTTCAGGCCTCTAGAGGTGTGAGGAGCAGCTGGGCATGGCAGTGATGCCCTCACAGTGTGTGCTGGTCCATCTCTCTTTGGGGCTGCTGTTCATCACCCAGCACCTTCCCACCCTCTGGCTGCCCAAGTTCTCAGAATCACCACTTAAAAAGTTGGTCTGACCAGGGAGAAAAACTTTGATCATTCATTTGTCAGGGTTTTTTTTTCCCTTGGTAGGAGGGGACAGCTGAACAAAGGAGCTGCAGGGTCTTGCATTTTGGGTGACTTCCCCAAATCCCTGCATCTCCCACAAGCTGGGCAAATCTTCCAGTATCTTTACCAAACTCAAGCCTCTTCATCTCAAGGCATGCAGCCTCTGCTGTGTCTCCTGAGCATGATCCACAGCATTGAACACCCAAGCTTCATTAATATTTCCTGCCAAGTGTTCAGTCAGTAGCAAAGAAAGCAGGAAGTGTCCCAGATGTTGGGAAGAAAAAATGGAATTATTCATTGCTTACTAACGTCAAATGCTAATGTGAGAGAAGCATCCTTGAAGAAATCCTTGACTAAAACTCATCAGAGTGATGTGAAATCGCTGCTTTAATTATGCGGTTTTGAATGTATTTATTAGTCCCGGTTCTGATCTGCCTTACAGATGTTGAACAGTGATAAGGGTCTGCTGCAAGTCTTTGGAATTACTCATGATTTATAATGACAGAACGTGGATCAGAATTAGGTCCTTGTCACTTCTCTATAATAGCCTTTCATCAAAGTTCTGCACGTTCAACAGATGAAAGCGACGGCGGGTTCTGCCGTTTCAAACCCGACCCCTGAGCCCATCAGCTTGTTTCTTGAGATCTCTCCCCCAGAAATGAGGATTCTCACACATTTTATCTGCTGGAGTTGTACCTGCCACAGGAAACCTGAGAGATGAGGAATCAGACTCTTTAGTTCCCCCCAAAATGACGGAGCTGGCTAAAAATGGTGCAGTGGAGGGAAATCGTGTCGTTATTCTGCTCTCTCATTTCATTCTGATCTCAAGCTCATTCTCATTCAAGGTCAGGCTTGATGGGGCTCTGAGCAACCTGTTCCAGTTGGAGATGTCCCTGCTTATTGTTGGGGGGTTGAACTAGATGGCCTTTAGAGGGCGCTTCCAACCTAGGACGTTCTTTGATTCTTCTCTGTACTTTTCTTCTCTGTGTCTTTATTGCTGTGATTATTGGAGCAGGCTCAGTACCAGAGGGTTTAAACACACACCTCCCCCCCCGCCCTCACCTCTGTTCAAGAATGATTCAAAGCCAAGTGTTTTTCCAAAGAATGATGGGCTTTTAAACTATTGCTTGCTCTAGAGCTGATCCAGAATGAGCAAGTCTCCAGGGATGGTTCACTCCCTGAGGCACAAATTAAGCTAAATGTATTCCATAAATGCCTTGATGACATGAAACTAAATTTTTTAGAGAACAGATGGAGAAAGTTAATAAATATTTCATTCTGTAATATAAAACTCACTTCTATATTCACAACTTCAGGGATCCTCAGCTTCCCAGATATCAATAAGTCTGATGGATTTTGTGCTGCATTCTCATTCTTCTGCCCCGGTGTCTCTTATGGGATCATCATTTCTGGATGCTTGGATTGTTTTATGGGATCAGTGAAAGGCAAGTGACTGTAAATCTTGACCTCTTCTGCTCCTGGATTATGTATTTTTATTCTTTGTGGCCATAAGTGTTCATCTCGACACTGAATAGATAATTACATGGCAAAAATTATTCAAAGGGAATTTATAGTGAGAAATTATCAGTTGAAGAACTGATGGGCCACAGGGCAGAACCCAAGGAGATACTGTGGGGGAAAAAAAACAGTTTAAAATGCCCAAATAAAACATCTGTGTATTTGTAAATACCATGAAACATCTTTTCAGTGGGGAAAAAACAATATTTTTACCTGTAGATACCAATTCTATTAAACCAAAATGTCTATTAAGGGAAAACTGTGTGAATTTTGCTTAAGAACTGTAGACCCAGCCTGGTAGTCATCTGCAAGAACTAATCTCTCCATGTGGGAATTACAATTTCTCACTCTGTGGATGCCATGAATCTTGTAAAAGAATAATTAGAACCTGCTCCAAAAGGAGAGAAATGCCAGACTTGAATAATATTTTAGGAAGAGCATTAACAAACATTTTTATCCTGCCAACAAGCTTCAGTGCTCACTAGAAGAGATTTACATCACATTATTAATTAACTATACTGAGTCAATAGCATGACATAAAGCTTGGGAGATGTATGTTTAATGTACACTGTGACATTCATGAGAACAACGTGCATTTTTGGGAAGCTTGATTTAAAATTTATGCTAACGAGTTCAGCAAGGAAGGGCCCAACAAACTGCTTCAAAGCCTTGAGATCCAGCCCGAAAAAGATGACAAGATCAAATCTTTGTCAGTTCTCTGGTGTTTTTACAAACCTCTGCATACACGGGATAAATTACTTCACCTCAATAGTTTGGTATAAAATTAGTATGAATTACTCCCAGTGGGACCAGCACAGTCTGTCAGATAATGTGCACTGGAGCAATCATAGTGGGAAGGCAAGGGGGGATGGATGAAAACTGGAAGAGGGAGATTGAGGTTGGACATAAGGAAGAAATTCTTCCCTGTGAGGGTGGTGAGAGCCTGGCCCAGGTTGCCCAGGGAAGCTGTGGCTGCCCCATCCCTGGCAGGGTTGAAGGGCAGGTTGGATGGGGCTTGGAGCAGCCTGGGCTGGTGGGAGGTGTCCCTGCCCATGCAGGGGGTTGGGACTGGATGGTCTTTGAGGTCCCTTCCAACCCAGTCTGGGATTCTACAAATTGCAAAAATATAAAAGCATCTACATGGCATTTAATTTAGCTTTTTGGAGCAAACTCTTGTGCTACATTTGTAGAATACAAGGTCCATGGTCTACCCTAACAAAGAACATTGTTCCCACCCCCTTCCCCCCATCTCTGACCACCTTTCAGTTCTGGGATTGCAAATCCCCACAACACCGTGTCCAGGGAAAACATGAAATGCTGCAAAGAAACACTAATGAATTTGTGGTGGGTTTCATGCCACAGAAACTGGTTTATTCACTGAAGGGAAGTTAGGTTGGATCCAGGTACATTTGTATCTTTAGAATCGGGGGCTTCTTAGGAAAAACAAAAAGGTTCTCCCATTTCCTGACATCCCATTAAATGGTTGTCCTTTGATATCAATTAGAGCCAGCTAAAATAAAAATAAAATCATTCTTAATTGCTTTTCAGAAATAGACTTTCTGGCATTTAGTGTGGCTGCCAGAGGCAATTACCTTTTCCAAGAAATAAGGATGTTGGGAAGGCCACAGAACTCCAGCTCTGCTGCGTATGGACATGGGGAGGAAGCTGCTTTCACAGCCCAGGCTGTTCCCTGGGCTGCAGGTAAAATGGATGCAAAAGCCATAGACATGCCTCAAGGTCTGCAAGGTGTGACAATGCTGAAGCTGGACATTCAGCCTGGTTTGGGGCTGAGAGAGGTTGGATGCTCCGTGCTCCTTCCCTGCCTCCAGGTAAGGGTGGCTGTGCTCATGCACCTACAATTATAGCTACAAGGACCATCTAGTCCTCAAAACTTGGGTGTGTTCCATTCCAAGGAGCATCACCAGTTTTCCCAAATGCCTTTCTCCAAGTTTGTCTTACTCCAGGGACTTCATAATGTCTCTGCCAACCAGGTAGAAGAGGAGTCCAGAAAGTAAGACCAGGGGCACCCCGGCCGTGGCGAACATGAACGACCACCCGTAGTACACGTGCACGGGGACGTCGTCCAGGCACTTCTCACTCCTCTCCAGCAGGATGTACTTCTGAAAATCAGCTGCAAACTCCTTCCACATCACGAAGAGAAACACCAGCAAGAGAAACAAGCCTCCTGGCAAGAGAGACAAAGATGAGTTATTCTTACAACCAGCTTGTGAAACACAGAAGTAAAATGGAGAGAAGGTGGCAACACATTTCCATGTCTTCTTGCAGCAAAGCTGAGTTGCAGAATTATTATTCATGACCTTCCTCTGCATGTTCCCATGAAATTCAAGCCCAATCACCATGGGAGAGACCCAGGTGGCTGAGACCAGCTCCTGCCCAGCCACAGGCACATCAACACCTCGTGCCTTGACCACCGGCGCTGCCGAGGGCTCGTTACAGCCTTGGAGAAACCACCATCCCCATGGTTGGTGTTCACATCTAAAGGTAGGTCATTTTTTCTTTTTTAGCATTTAATTTCTCTCAGATGGGTGAGAAAGTGAGACTAAGACTGATTCTTTTCCGTTTTCCACCTACCCTTTCCAGTAGTGTCAGGTCCAATTTCCACCAGAAGCACAGAGATGTGGGGATCAGTCTTGCTGATGGCAAATGTTTCCCAGCACCCAACCTGCCCAGCAGCAGAGCCCACACAGACACCAGTGGCTGCTGTGACCTGTGCAGGGCCCCTCCACCTCTTGTGTTACCCTTCCTTGAACTGAGCTTTGCAACCAAGCCTTAAAACAGGTGAGGAGGAGGATGGGTGGTGGTGTCTTGCGGAGAAGTAACACGGAATAGAGTGGAAAAGGCCATGAGATATGAAACTCAGATGGGTTACTAAATCACAGAATTAAAAGAAGATAATTATAAAGAGCTTATTCCACGAGGCTAGAAAGTCTTCCTTTTGGCAGGTGAGGCCTCCTTGCCCTTCCCTGGTGCCAGGCAGCAGGAGGGCTGAGGCCACGCTTGAGGCTGAGCCATGAGCCCAATCTTGCTTGGAGTGGGTTTGCTCCCCCTGAGGCCTTCCAATCCCCAAGGATGCCTGTGACCTGAGGAGCAGAGCTCCCACCTGAGCTCACCAGCTCCTCTTTCCAGGTGCAGACCCCAGGGAGGGCAGTGGTTTGCAGGAAGAGCTTGGCCACATCTGAAAAGCACCTCCTGGACCTGCCATGGGTTTGGAGGCATTGGGGTCATAATAGGAACCTCCTTTCCCCATAAGGGATGCTGGTGAGAGGCTCAGGTCCAGCTCCTCCATGTGAAGCAGATGCCAAGAACTAGTGTGGCCCCAATATATTTACTGTATCACATTAAAGAATATAGATAGTCCATTAGAAAGTCAACATCTGTTAAAACTAAACAGTGATGTTTTGATGACAGATCTAAAAGCACATCAGTAAGATCTGCTCTGGCTCCTTCCACAGCTAGAAGCTGTGATAGAACTAGAGACAGAGAGGTATATAGAGCTATATACACATGCAGATATATAGATATGAAAGAAATGCATCACAGCTTATAATATTTTCATGTGGATGTGTTGTGGCTTCTGCTGGATTTAGTTTCTCCCTTTGCAGTTTTTAAATCAGAGGTAGCTTGTAGTATATTGAATTCTGCCTCCTGGCAGCTCATACTCTGCCCAACCCAGCTCCTGTGCTAAGCAAAGGACACTGGTGGGTCTGCTTAGTGATGGTGGGGCCTGAAACCTTGCTCAGAGAAGACACATCAATGTTCAGCTGCATTTCTGCCCTTGGTGGGGCTGAGCATATCTGCAAGCAACCTCCACTTCCCAAATTGTAGCCACAAATGAGACTGATGTGAAGGGATTGAGGGTTCAAAGTCCACGTGTTAGATAGAAATTGGAGTTCCCTGCCTGTCCTGAGCTGTCTATTGATCTGCCTCCTACACTCTAAGGCTGCAAAAAGCTCCTTAATCATCCAAAACTGGAGTAACCATGAGCATATATTTGATGTCACCACGGGCTGTTATTCCCAGCCCTTCTCCCTTCCATGGAGAAGTCCTTGTGTTTGCTGAAGAGGCAGGGGAGGGGTTAAACAGCAGCTGTTGTAACATTTGCATGTTCATTGAGATTTTGATACCACTTGAAATTAAGTGCACAAATAAATATTTTACACTTAATAGGAGAGCTGTATGCTTAAAATACCAATTATTCTGCTCTAAGAGAAACGATTGCATGGTTAAATAGTCACATGTCCCTTACAAAATACAATATATTGATAAGAAGGCAATTAAGTCTTTATTACTGATGTAATTTAAAATTAAATTAATTAGATAGCAACTGAACCTTGAAAAGTGCTCTTTTAAGGATCAATTTCTATTTCATTAACTTATGATACCTACGGTCAGAGATGCAAATACAGGTGGGACAGAGAACACAGGTATGGTCCTACTTTGCTTTCACATCTTCTGGTTTTCTTGAAACAACCCTGGGGGGGGAGTTGTTGAATGACCCTAGGACAATTTAGATGGCCTAAGCTTCATTTATTGAAGAAATCAGCTTAATTGGACCATCCCCATGCTCACCAAGATGGGGAGATGGTCCCAGGAGAAGCACCTGGTCTCTCATGGAAGGATTTATTATTAAACAGGTACTGGAGGTGATGGCACAGCCTTGGCATCTAAATTAAGAACATTTTCACACCCTGGGAAAATGACAAGCAAATGTAAAGTAAGCAGCCTTCTTCCCTGAAATAATTACAGGTGAGTGGGTGAAGAGTCCCTGGGATTTGCAGCATCTCCTTGGTGAGGAGGGGAAATCAACAGGGCAGGAGGGTAGAGACACAGAAAGGGCAGCTCACTGACAACTGAGCAGCAAAAAGAAATGCTCCCTTGGAACAATCCCAGGTGCTTGTGACACTGCCTGAAATTTGTCCCTCTTTAAACATGGGTAGACTCTTTATTGGAGAATAATCAAGATGCTTCATTCCCATCTCACCCACCTGAGTCTTCAGGGTTTTTGTTTTCAAAATGCTGTTCGTTTTGGATTTTTCATCCTTTGAACAGGTCTCACTTGAACACCTCCTTTTTGGGGCTTTGAGTCTCAGCTGCAGCAGGAAAACATCTTCAGTTCCTGCCCACCCCAAGTCGCTTTATATGTAAGGAGACAGATTTCTTCCTGCCTTGGGCAGCAACATGAGAAAGACCCTCCTTTTCTGCCCAAGAAATGAGCCCATGGTCAGCACGTGCACCTGAGACTCAGGATGCGTGTTGGATTTGGGTGAAGACCTCATCAAACCAGACCATGTCCCTGCTCCTTTCAGCATCCCTGTGCTTCCTACCCCTGGAAAATTAGCCAAGTGATCCCTTTTTTCTCTCCCTTTCCCTCTTTGCTTCTGTTGATTAGGACAGAATGGAAAACAAAGGACCTCCATCTCCACGCTGAAGAAGTCAACAGCATCTTCTGGAGAGGGGCTCATTGCAGGAAGATTGAAGTGAGGTGTTCTTTCTCCTTTGAACCCACCTGATGCTCCCACCATCTCCCCTCCCAGGAGAGCTGCACCTTCCCTGTGGGGAAACTGGAGATGGGCTGCTTCTTTCTCTCACTTAGTGTCCTTGTGAAAGCTTTATAGCTGCTAATGGTAGGGGCAGGTGAGTAAACTCAGTCTTTAACTCTTGTTCTGGGAGGATACTGAGCTTCTGTGTATTCTGCTAATTAGGAAAATAACAAACTGACTCCTTCACCTTTCTCACCAGGTGAGGTCTCCCTGGAGGCTTCTCTTCTCCAGGCTGAACAATCTCAGCTCCCCCAGCTCCTAAGACAGTGCCCAAGGGAAATGAAAACTGAGGAGCACAAGCACAGAAAGCCAAGAAGAACAACCAAGTTGTCTCAGCAATTCAAACAGCTTCCAGAAGCTGCAGTGCAGCCTCTCTCGGTGACATTGGAGTACTAATTAATCATATTGTCACCTGACTATCAAAACAAGGAGGACAATTAGTCACCAGACAGTGCCTGCCTCCCCTCTGCAAGGACTGAGGCTGAGATGGCAAGTGTTGGAAGGACAGCAGCTCCTGCAGTTGGGGTGCTCTGGGGAGCTGGAGGGTGAGGATGGTGGTGAGGATGGTGGCTCAGGATGGTGAGGATGGTGGCTCAGGATGATGAGGATGGTGGCTCAGGATGGTGGTGAGGATGGTGGCTCAGGATGATGAGGATGGTGGTTTTGACAGGCAAGCAAGAATGGCAGCTCAGCCAGCATGTGATGTGCAAACACAAGCAGCCCCACATGCCTGGTGGGGTTCCAACTCTATTTCCCAAGCCCCCCAGCAGAAGAAATGAAGGTGCTGGCTCCAGAAGCACACACCCCTCCCACCCCCAGCACTGCATTTGCTCCAGGAGCTGGCAGACAGTCAGGTTGGTCCTCTTGAAATTACAGGAAATAAAAGGCATCCCAGGGAGGAAAACCAAAGGGATCTAATAGAGAGACAACAATCTTCACCCTGAGGCAGTGAATACCCCTGTGACCTGGCACAGCAGCTCCTAGAGGTCATCTCAGCCTGGTTAACCCTCAGGGCACAGATTTGCCCCAATAACACCTTTAGAGCCTTTCAGTGGCAAATATTGCGTCGTTTTGCAAAGATTAACCCCAGCTGGGATTTCCTGACCTGGGCATGGGCTGCAGGGGTGTTATGGGCAGTTATGTTAGGGGATGTTCCAGGAGGACAGGGCATCTTGCAGCCATGGTGCCCCATCTCCCCATCCCACAGCCAGACCACCTTCCTGAGCTCCAAACTGCCACCTCTTCCACACTTCCTCAAGGAGAGATCCTTTCTGCCAGAGGGGTTAGTTACACTGACCCCCAGGCCATGATGAGAAGGCAAAACATGTGTCCTCCCATGTCCTGTCTCCAAATCCCACTCTCCAAAGGAAAGGGATGGCAAAGGAGCTGAAGCTGTGTTCAATCAACTGTTCTTACTGCTTAGCACAGTGAGGCAAAATCTTTTTAGAAGGGGTAGTGGGAAAATAACCACGGGGGGGATGCATCCTGAATCCATCAGGAAGCCAGTGCCAGGCAGGATCCAGAGGTCTGAGCTCAGGATCCCGACTCAAAAATAAAAAAATTCAGCTGAAACTCTGAGCAAACTTTGCTGGGAATGCTGAAATGCTGTCACATTCTCCCTCTAGATTGAAAATCTAGCAGGAAGCCTCTTCCAGCTGAACTCGGTCCTCTTAATGACAGTTAATAACAATGATTGCTGTTCAGCTTGAGTCTGCATTAATACAAACTTCCATTTCAGCAGCAGCATCTTTGTCTGATGCCAAGAGGTTTATGTGATGCATAATCAGCTCCTCTAAAAAGTGTCACATTCTATGGCCCAGCCTTTCAATCAAGAAGTAGTCAAATAAAGTGCAAAAACAACGGGGAGAAAAGGGAAGAGAGTGATTCCATGTTACTCAGCCTCATTTTCTGTGTGATATTTGACTTATCTGGGCAGTGTCAGAAGGTGACAGGTCACAGTTTTTCCATTTGGGCTGCACGTTGAGTGTTTTGAAGAGGCTTTAACTGAGGTAGCCAGTGTCTCATCTGGAAGGATTCAAATATTTGGCTTTCATCTCACTAGAAGAGATGACTTCAATGCATTCAGATGTCAAGTGGCCACCACTCCTCAGCAGAAGGCACTGGCACCTGAATGGAGGGCTGATCACAGGATGTCTTGCATTCCCAAATGAGATCTGTGTGTGTCAAACCAGGTGAAATTTGCCTTCAGAAAAATCAAGCCCAACCAAGGATCTATTAAACTAGATAAGAGAGAGATAAGGAGGTGCCCAGAGGCTGCCTGCCCTCCCTGCAGGAACACAACACCTGGAGGCACATGGAAAATCAGACAAAATGCAAAGTTAATTAGCAGAGGCAGGTAGGGCCACACTGATTTAGTGCCTTCCAGGTTCTTCTGCACAAATAGCTGCCTGTCATGTAGCTTCATTTTACCAAGCAGCTTGGTGGTTAGTGATTAGTCCATGTGGAGGAGAAAGAACTTAGGAAAGGAGCTGTCAAATGGACTGGGAGCTAAATAATGGCACAGAAGGATAAAAGGTAATAATAGCAGGACATGAAAAGATGGGAAGGTTGGGTGGAGCTCCTCCAAGGAGACATCTCTTGTTAAATATCTTCATGGATGTTTTCAGCCCCCAAAACACTTGGGCACACACAAAACCCAAACTGGGAGCAAAGACACTGCCTTGGGCTTGATTTATGCCACGGATGAGGAAGCAGGACCTGGGGCAGGATCCATAATGAAGCTGTGGTTTTCCAGAGAAAAGCCTGACTTCATTATGGAGCTCTTCACTTGCCATGGCTCTGCTGACCTCCAGCCTTTGGCTGCTTGAGTTGCAAAAGAGGTTTTTCTGAGTTTGAGTCACTGATATAAAGCAAGTATCTCTACTAGTTAAGCCAGTTATTCCTCCTCAAATAGAAACAGAAAAGAACCCAAGTGATAATTCAATGGAATAATTCATAATGATGTGGGAAAAATGAACAAATGCCTGGTTTTAATTCATTTTCCTGCTGTGCCACCTCTTTACCTGATAAGCCAGCCCTCCCATTTCTGGGTATCCCTGTCCCTGCTCAGTGGGGCCTCCTGCAACACCAGGTGTGAACAGCAGAGACAGGAGAGGTCTGAGGGCAAAGACTGACCTAGGGGAACCTAGTGCAGCTGAGTGCTGCTCCAGGTGAACACCAACAGGTCTTCCAAGGTGTGTCTGAGGGAGCTGGGGGTGTCCAGCCTGGAGACAAGGAGGTGAGGGGAGACCTCATCACTCTACAACTGCCTGAGAAGAGGTTGAAACCAGGGAGGGTTGGGCTCTTCTCCCAAGGAACAAGTGAAAGGACAAGAGGAAACAGCCTCAAGTTGTGCCAGGGGAGGTTTAGGTTGGATATTGGGAGAAATCTCTTCCCCAAAGGGCTGTCAGGCCCTGGCCCAGGCTGCCCAGGGCAGGGGGGGGGTCCCCATCCCTGTGGGGATTTCCAAGCCCTGTAGATGTGGTGCTGAGGGACGTGGGGCAGGGGTGGCCTTGGCAGGGCTGGGGGAACAGTTGGACTTGATGGTCTTAAGGCTCCTTCCCAACCAAAATGCTTCTGTGATTCTATGAGCCAATACTATGAAATTCCCTAAAACAAAAGGCTCTGCTCCCCTGCACTGCAGAGAAGAGCAAGGCAAGAAGCATTTTTCTCAACCCCCAGCCTCCCTGGGACTATCTTGCTAAAGCTCAACCAAGCAGAAGAGGTTTATTTCCAGCAGGGGAGGAGGAACATCTTTGACAATGCAGCTCCCACCAGAGCCCCCACCTCCCTCCAGCAGTGCCTGGTCCCCAGCTGCCTCCCTTCCCCTGCACTCAGCCCAAAGAGCTTGGCTACATCCCTGGCCCCTCAGCACTTACCTGAGGTGAGGAGGAATCCCCCTCCAGCTTTGTAGGCACGGGGGCTCACAAAGGGCACCCCACAGACCAGCAGGAGCCCTCCCACCAGCCCAGTGGCCACAGCCCGGATGGTGAAAAGTGTGCCAAAAACCAAAATGCTTCTGTGATTCTATGAGCCAATACTATGAAATTCCCTAAAACAAAAGGCTCTGCTCCCCTGCACTGCAGAGAAGAGCAAGGCAAGAAGCATTTTTCTCAACCCCCAGCCTCCCTGGGACTATCTTGCTAAAGCTCAACCAAGCAGAAGAGGTTTATTTCCAGCAGGGGAGGAGGAACATCTTTGACAATGCAGCTCCCACCAGAGCCCCCACCTCCCTCCAGCAGTGCCTGGTCCCCAGCTGCCTCCCTTCCCCTGCACTCAGCCCAAAGAGCTTGGCTACATCCCTGGCCCCTCAGCACTTACCTGAGGTGAGGAGGAATCCCCCTCCAGCTTTGTAGGCACGGGGGCTCACAAAGGGCACCCCACAGACCAGCAGGAGCCCTCCCACCAGCCCAGTGGCCACAGCCAGGATGATGAAAGCTGTCCAGAAGCCTCTGTACACTGCATGGGGGAGGGGAAAAAAAGAGTCAGATCAGGGAGGTGAAAGGCAGGAGAAGTGCAGCAAGTTCAGGTTGGATGTCAATGACCCAGGTAACAGGATAGGAATGAGTACAAGGGGGTGGGGAGGTTGGCCAGGGAAGGGTGGGGAGCAAAGATACCACGGTTTGCTGTGCCTGTGGGGGATGGAAGAGATTGGCAAGAAAGGAAAGAAAATGGGAAAATTGGGAGAGATGGAGTCAGGTCACATCTCTGTTCCATTTCAATGGATGCTTGAGGAAGGCACCAGGTGCCTGGTTTAAAATCAAGGCAGTTTGGGTTGGCAGGGAAAACAGGAGCTTGTGATTTCCCCCATGAGTGGCCTTGCTTGACTCCAAGAGCAGGGCAGGAGGAGGGTGGTTGCCTCTCCATCCCCTGGGTTTGGGGGGTTTTGCTGGGACTTCATGCAGCCACCCTGGTCAGAGCCAAGCAGGTCTGTGCCCATCACCTCCCCCAGGACAGGCCGTAGCCCCCACCCGTTTAGATCTCTGAGTAACCAAGTCTGTTCCAGTCCCTGCCATAAAGCTTGGCCAAGGGTGGTGCTCATCAGGCAGGGCTCCTGCTCCCAGTGCCCCTGGTTTGTCTGGTCCTCCCAGACCACCCCATCCTGTTCTGCCCCTTGTTTTTCAGCAACTCTGGTCAGAGAGATTCGAGCTGAGCACAAGCCAGTGGGTGATGCTGAAGTGATTCACACTGGAAAGAAAAATGTTCCAGAGAAGATGCCTTTTTTCTCGTTTGAAACCATTTTGTCAGGAGAGCCACTCAGGGAGAGATGAGTATCTTGATCTCTCCAAAACCACAGAATTCATGTTCATGTTTAACCTCCCCTCACCAAGTCCTCTCAGGGAGCCTATGAGGCTGCAGAGGCAGAATTCTCTCTGGAGCAGGTAATAGCTGGAGGGGCCCTCTTCTTGGATGGCCTCCATGTCATCATTTGCACAGGAGGATGGACCAGTTTGAAGGAAAATTAACGTTAATGGCAGAAGTTCCTGCTCTTGGTGCTGGTCCCAAAGCATTTCAGGGGGTGGATGCAGCAGGGGAGCTCAGTGTGGGTGCTGAGACACCCTCCAACCATGGGGATCACAGCAGGGTGGGTGCCAAGACCCTCCAGGCAGAGCCAGTCCCCAGGACCAGCCCAGGAACCTGTCCCAGTGCTCATTGCTGGGCAGCAGCTGGAGAGAATTCCCCAGCCAGGGCTGACAGGCAGGGACAGATGCCTCCAGGGCCCTTTATTTAGCACAGAAAAAAACCAAAACCAACCCAGTGTGCTCAGTGAGATCATTCAGAAACCAGCCATCATGCCTGCCTGCCTCTCCTCAGCAGAAAAAAAAAGTCCCCAGGACAGGATTTGGCTCCTCCTTTTACCCCTCACACCCATTTCCCACTGCAAGGTGCTCCCCGAGGCAGGAATCCTGCACAGCAAAAGAAATGAGCTGCCCTCAACCTGATCCTTGGGTTGGTGGTTTGAGTATTTTTATTTTTTTTTCCAATTAATTCCTCATAAAAAAAAAATAAAAACCAAAACTAAAGGTACTGCTAAAGGCTAAGGAAAAGGTCAAGATGTTTGTTTGTGCAGGATGCCTGCCCTGGATCCCCAGAGGCAAGGTGGAGTGATGCAGACTATTTAAAGAAATCAATTCATTTCAAAAAAGATCATTGAATTAATTCCAGCTGCTGCCACCAATTGAGCAAATTACAATTCCTAACAGCAGCTGATTCATTAAAGAGCTCTGCAAACCCAGAGACACGTAAATAAAAAGGGGGAACTGGGTTGAAAAGGGAGCTCTCCAACTGTGTCTGGCTCAGTGTATTAAAACAAGTCAGTCACTTAGGTGGAGCTTCTAACAATTTGGTCTTTCCCTGGTTTTTCCAGTGCTTGTTTATTTTGCTTTGCAACAAATCAACCCCAGAGCTCTTCTCTCTGGAAATGAGTCAGGGCTGGGTTGCTGCAAGGCCACAGGATCAAGTCTTTTTGTTTCTGCAGGGTCTGGGGCAGAAACCCTTTGCCTCCAGCTCCTCCCAGTGAGTGAGGAGGTGGGAGAAGGGAGAGGATGGATTTAGCATCTTGCCTTGCTCACAGGAGTAGGCAGTGAGCAGGCAGGGCTGGTCAGCCAGGCAGGGCTCCTTCTGGAGGAGAGAAGATGTGGGAGAACATCTCCATGTGCTCCTGGCTTGGGGCAGGCAGCTGAGCAAAACCATTTTGGGAAGGAGCTTTCCAAAAGTCTGGGTCAAGCTTGGCCACAGCATTTGCACCAGGAGAACCAGAGCAGTGACACCCATGGGAACCCCTGTCCCACCACCTGGGAAAGAAACTCACCTGCTGTCGTGTCGTAGGAAGGGTGAGGAAAAGGTCCCAGAGCAATGGGCAGAGGGAAGAGGTACCCGTGCATGCAGAACTTGGGGTGTACTTGGCTGGCTGGAAAAGAACAGCAGGAAAAGAAACCAGTTTTGTTGCTTTTGTTGCCTGCAAAGTCACAGTTACTGGGTTCAGAGGCTCAAAACCCTCCCTGAAGGCAAAAGGGCTGGGGAGGCAAGAAGGATGGAAAACCCTGTTTGGAAAGAAGAGAAGGGAAGGGAAGAGAAATAATAGAGAAAAAGAGAAAAGAAAAAGAAAGACAAAAGAAAGGCACAGAGAAAAAGGGGCAAAAAGTCAAAAAAATAAAGAAGAAAAAGGAAAAGAAAAGGGGAGGAAGAAAAAGGGGAGGAAGAAAAAGGGGAGGAAGAAAAAGGGGAGGAAGAAAAAGGGGGGTTGGGGGGAAGAAAAACTGATGAGAGAGAGAAGAGACATAACAGGTTCTCAGGTTCTGAGACAGGTTCTACCTGTCCATCTTCTCATGTTCAGAACCTGAGTCTGATTTGCAAGATGGAGCAAGTGCAACCAATGCAAACATTCCCATTGCAGTTTGCTTCCAGCAAAGGTGTCAGACAGCCCAGAAGGGGCACAGGAATTTGGGTACCAGACCAAGGTACCTTCACAAGACCTGCAGTTTGTGAGGAGGCAAAGCACAATGAGAATGGAAGTGCCCCATCAATATTAATACCACTGAGGCTGATCATGATTAAGAGGAACAGAATGAATGTTAAATTAATTAATTAATGGTTGGCTACTTATTTAAATATGTTCCCCAGCTCCAAGGAACACTTGATAATAGGTGGACATTAGTTCATGCTAAATTGACTATGGAATACCTATTGAATTAATTATTACATCCACAAGAGCAGCAAATTAATTTGCCAGATCAATCCTATTATAATAAATACCTAAAGAAGTAATAGAAATTGGCCAGTTATCAGAAAGAGCCATTTCACTTCAGGTAACATTATATGACATAATGTGTTTCCATATAATGTAATTAGTTAGCAGAGCCCCCTCTTCTCCAGCCTGTTCTTTTTTTATCAAGACATTCCCATGCAAAATATCTGAATGGTGGCAGTAGCTGTTCCTGCTAGGACTGACAGGAAACACAGGGCAGGGGCTGGGGGGACAGCAAAGTCATTTGCAAGTTTGATCCCAGCAAAGTCAATCCCTTGGGAGAACCTGCACAGGTTGGTTTTTTTGGCCAAACACCCTGGGAGGCAAATCCCTCTGCTCTCCTGGCACCTGAACATCTCAGAGCAGCCTGAAGCCACCATGAGAGCAGGGTCAAGGCTTTTGCAGTGTTCAAAACCTCTGCAGAAATGATTAAAAGTATCTTTTAAAAAAAAAATATCTTGAGGGTTGTGGCAGCCCAGGGAAGGGCTGTTCTCTAATTACCCACCCTGCACTAACATGGGTAAACTGGTTGCTGGCTCAGTGTGGTGGGGGTGGTCTCACTCCTTTGCTCTTTCTGGTGGGAACACTCTGGTCACTGGGCCAAGACCACATGGGCCACCCCTCAGCACCAGCTGGTGTCTCAGAGCAGGTTTCACCCTCTCCTTCAATTCTTTTTTGGAAGAGTGAATGAGCTTTCAGGAAAACAAAAGACCTTGCACATGTCTCTGGGGTTTTCAGACTTGACCCACTTTTTCAGCTGGAGGACCACAGGTGTGCACCCAGTCCTCCCAGTGCTGCAATCAGTGGGAAGTGGGAACATCCCAATGGCTGAAAAGGCTGAGAAGAGCAGTGCCAAGGGCCAGGAAAGGCACAGGTTCATGTTCTGCCCTGAGCTGAACACAAACAGGGATGGGGGAAGAGCTGTCCTTGCTGGGGAGGCCACCACTCCCTCAGACTAAGTGATAGTTTAAAAAGGCATCAAGAGGTTCCTACATTTCTGCAAACAACCCTCTGAGAGCAAACTCCAAGTCAAAAAAAAAAAAAAGAAAGAGCACAGAAGGGGTGACCCAAGTTTGCTTTTGATAGAGAGATGATGAGAATGAAGAGAAGAACAAGGTGCCTGCGGTGGCATCGTACTCACTGTACCAGAAGGTCCAGATGGTCTCTGGGTGCCCCTGGCCGAAGAACCAGCACCTCCAGAAGAAGCCCTCGTGGTGGAAAGTGAGGATCTCCTTCCTGACCTCTGTCTGCACATCATCCTGGGGGGGAATGAAAGCCCAAGCTGACACAGGGATGATCATGGGAAAGGTTGTAATTTTGAGACCGTTATTGCTTTCATTTTTTTGTTAGGGTTCTCATTTATTGTTTTGGAGGGGTTGGGGAACCCAGAGGCAGGTGCTATCCTTGACTTTCTGGTGTATCAGAACCACAAAATGTTCTGGTAACAAATTATCCTGCAGACATTCACTAATTTCTTCTTTAACATCTTGAAACCCCTGATTTCTGGAGCTGGACGGGCAGGTCAGGGAGCAGAGCAGAACACTCTGGGTGGGCTCTACTTCCTGAACACTTCCCTGAAGGAAATGGTACTGCTGTTGTGACCAGTTTGAAGCAGGTGGATGACCAGGTAGACAATTGTAGGGGTGACCCAATGCAACAGTTCAGGTGTCCCTGCTACTCTGCAGGGTCCAAGTAAGGTCTGACTCAACCCCAGAAGTCAGCCCAGCTCTAACACTCCCCACGTTCCAGCCTCTTCCAACCACCAGCCCAAAGGTTTCCTCTTTTCTTTCTCTCCCTGCTGAGCCCAGTAGAAATTATGCTCAACTTATGAGAGAGACAAATTACTCTTTCCACACCAGTCCCACTATAGACCAGGACAGGGATTTTGACACTTTTTCCCATTTTGGTGAGTTTACTTCAACCACCAGAGCAGATCTGTGAGCACAAGGTTTGAGTCTTTCCAGAAGGGACCCTATTGCAAAGTTGAGTCATGGACTATTTACCAAAAAGACTTATTAAAACTGTAGCCCAGATCAATTTTACCACATAAAAATTGGTAAAGGAGACACGACTGCTATAAAATTACATTATGTGGAGGATGGAGAAATAGGACTGGACCCTGGGAACAAGAGAAAGGAGATGGGACTTGACAGGGAGGTGCTAGAAGATCATTCCTTCACCTCCATGTTTTTAGGCAAAGAGGTTTGACCACTTCTGGAGCTCTGACCTGACTCTCCTCTTACTTTCAGGATAAAATACCAACTATGATAGTGGTAACAGCTGCTGACTTAGTGCATCCATGGCATATTTAATCACTGCTTGGCAGATCCTCCAGCCCATCCTTATCTGTAAGGGACAGGATTTGCCAGTTTAAGAAAAGGCAGAGAAGGAAAAAAACCCACAGCCCATTGTACATAACCATAAACTGAAATAGAAATAATAAAAAGAGAGTCTGAAATAGAAAGAAAATAGCTTGGAGGGGAGAGTAAGAGCAGCTCCTGTTTCTGCCTGGTGCCTTTGAAGTAGCTCTGCCTCAGTGACAGGCTCACTAGCACTGGGCCAGGAGCCTTCCTGACATGTTTCAGCTGCTTATTCATGTCGTGCTCCACTTGAAAAGACAACAACACAAACTAAAGTCTGAAACAATTAACAATGTCACTTCCCAAGAGCACAAACACTGAGCCACGTTTCTGACACCTCCAGGGCTTCACCAGGCTGCTTCAAACAGCCCAGTGTCTTCTGCCAGGCAGTTTTTCTACATATATAATTTATATTTTTGTAATAGAGAAAGTCATTTGGAAACATGACTCAGGCAAACACTGTCCTACATTTGATTGTGGGATTCTGGAATGACAAAAAATGTGTCTTGCTGGCCTCATGATGCCTCACCCAGTGTGACTGGTGAGAGAGCAGAGCAAAATCAAACCTAATTGGGTTGAACTTTGAAAGAACAAAAATCTGCACACAACAAGGATCTTCCTGTCATTTTGCAATCAAAGCCACACATGGATCAGCACAAAAGCCTTGCTAGAGAGTGGGTGGCTCAAGGAACTGATCTGGTTATTTCATTGAAGAGTTAAGACAAGAGTAAGTGCAGTTAAAATTCAACTTTCACAAGTGACACCAGGAGTTAGCACTGAAATACCAAAACATCCTTCAGAAATTACACTTCCTGCTCACTAAAATCCTATCTATAATCTCTTCATTTTAAAATATATAGGTCTCTTCTTGTTCAACAGGCAGGAACTCTTGCCTACTCTGAGCAGTGTCTGACGTTCGCCTGCGTTTTCTGACTGTGCTGTAATCACATCACTTCAGATGCAAATGATTGCCAAGTCCTCCACTTTAAAATAGGAACTATTTTTAAAAGAAGAAGCTACAGAGGGAGAAATCTTTTCATGGCAAATATCAAATTTCTTTTGTCTTTGGAGGCAACTGCTGTCAACAAGTAAAGCTCTTACGTTTTTGCCTTTCGTTCTCTAATGTTCTTATTTGCCAGATGAGAGAGGTGCTGCCTTCATGCTTTCCAGATGCATTTGACTTCAGTCAAAATGCTGGATAGTGGGGAGAAGCTGGTTCAGATTTTAAACTTAGCTCAGGCTGAGGTTTTAAATTAACAGGTCACTTCTAAGGAGCATAAATACGACCATAGATTAAAAACCAACCAGCACCGAAATTCAAAGTGTGAACGTTGCCTTTAGAGCGAACGGTTTAACTAAGTCAACACTGTCTCTTCCCAAGTAAGGCAAGATGTTGGAGTTTACCTCCTCAGTCTTCAGAGTGCTGTTCCCACTGGGAAAGATGCCACAGGTCTCTGTAGCCAGGAGCCAGTAGTCGGTCCCAAAGGCGAGGAGGAAGAGCAGGAGGCCAGTGGCGCCGAGGAGCCCGGCTGCCAGGGCAGCCCCTCCAGCCTTCATGGGGCAGCAGGGCTGGGAAGCAGGGCTGGAGAGCAGAAAAGAAGGAAAAACTCTGAAGTTTCCAGGGTCACTGGAAGAGGGAGACAAGAGAAGTGTTATTTTGGGATGGGGATAATGTTCTTCTCCTGGCCGGTGTGAGTTTCAGCGGGTGGTGGGGAGAGGACTAAGAAAAGCAGATGACCTGGGGTAACCAAACAGCTGTGGCATGAGGGAACATGACAAACTGCTGTTGGGGCAGAGCAGGAAGGCTTCCAAATCAACACACGGCTGTTCAGTGCAGAGGAGCAGGGCAGGAGCCCCGAGCCTGGCTGGCCAGGCAGTCCCTGCAGGTCAGGAGCGGTCACGGTGCAGAACTGCCCGGGCACTGCGGAGCTGCTGAGCCCCCCGTGTGCCCCAGCTTGGCAGGGGGGCTGGGCACCCGTGGGGCAGGGCTGAGCTCACCTGCACCACCTCATGGAGCCTGAGGTTTCCCCAACCACTGCTGCGAGGCACCTTCACCCACACCCTCAGCAGCGCCATGCTGAGGGGGCACCTCTGGAATCCAGGTCTCCTTTAGCTCCTGCCGTGTGCCCCAGCTTGGCAGGGAGGCTGGGCACCCGTGGGGCAGGGCTGAGCTCACCTGCACCACCTCATGGAGCCTGAGGTTTCCCCAACCACTGCTGCGAGGCACCTTCACCCACACCCTCAGCAGCGCCATGCTGAGGGGGCACCTCTGGAATCCAGGTCTCCTTTAGCTCCTGCTGCTGGACCTTGCACACAAGGAAACCCCAGAGATCCAAGCAATGAGACTAAAACCTTGGTGAGAGCTTCAGCGTGTCTCGGTCGGGATGCAATCAACCCATGCCAGCACATTGCAGTCAGGCAGGGCCACATCTAGCAAGCCAAGGGGCACCAGAGCAGGTGTATGGACCAATAGCCCCTGAGTGTCTTGCTCTGCAGTTGTGAGGGTTGTTCTCTCTCCTGCCACTGAAAAGCAGACTCTGTAGCATCCACACCCCTCCCACCACCCCAGCCTGCTGGAGAAGCAGTGTCTCATGGGGACCAGGACATTCCTGCAAGGAATTGCATTGCCATTTGGTTCCAAAGGCTTTTACCTTCTGCTGGAGCATCTGCTGGAGGTCACTGCCAGGAACGGGACACCAGGCTAGGAAAATGACCATCTCTGCAGGACAATAACTGTCCTGTGACATGCTGTGACATGCCAGGAGGCTGGGGGAGGAAGTTGAAATGACAGTGAAAAATTCAAGTTTTGCTTTTCAAACCTGAGCCTGAGTCATGGCCTGTTCTAAAAAGGGAGACAGATGAAGACGTCGACTTCCTTATCCTACGGGATTCTGAGATGCCAAATTAATTTCCAAATCAATTTAATAGTTAAAGTCAACTGTGAGCATATGGGTATCTGAGAGAAGCTGCACACTGGTTAGGGAAACTGGAGAGGGATGGGTAAACTTCTGACTACACTTCTAGCCAAGTGTTGAGGCACATGGCTGATGGATGTGCTCTCTCTCCTTCTAGGAGCAGAACAGATGTTGAATTCTAATCACTTCTTCTAACCCCTGCATTTTTCCTTCTTAAACATTGCAGGCTGGGAGAGCTGGTAAATAACACATCAGACCTCTCTTCCTCACTGCCAATGTGACAGAGATGATGTTGACTTAACCTGACCATGAGGGCATGAGGCATCCCATGGGACCCAGGAGAGAGGTCCCTACCCAGAGGAGTCCCTGCACCAAGGCCTGGAGAAAGGAAAGGTGGGCCAGGTTGCAGACTGACCACCATGCAAGGGCAAAACTCAACCACAGTGCCCACAGCCCCATTAGTTAGAGCTAGAATGGGACTTCAAGGGACAAGAGGCTAAGGAGGGCAGAATGTGTGGGTGCACCTGGCAGGGTGGGGCAGGTGGTGGGTGACAAGACAGCAGGGAGCTGCAAGACAGGGCCAGGGGTTGGTCTCAAAGGTTAGGTTTATATCTTGGTTGGTCACTCAGCTGGAAGAATGCCTTCTCATGTTTGAATAAGGAGATGAAGGTCTTCTCAGCAGGGCTGTGTGCTGCTCTGGGCAGGTGGCAACATCACCGTGTGGCCTTCAGACCTGCTGGGAGAGCTGGGACACAATTTAAAACCTACAGCATGTCTCTGAGCTGCTTAACCATCCCTTTTCTTCCAAGCAAACTCTTCAGTCAGTTAATGGGGAGGACTAATGGCCCTGACATGCTGCAGCCTCCCAGCCAAGCACCGGCTGTGCCCGGGGGAGCAGCAGCAGCTCCGCTTCTCCTGCACGTTCCCGGCAGCACAGCCCGGGAAAAGGGGGAAAGGAGCCCCCCCAGCCCTGCAATCTAGCATGAAAAGACACACACTGTCCCTGGCTACTTGCTCACCCTCCCACCTTTAGCTGGCAGCAACCCATGTTGCTGGGATGTGTTTACACACACGTTTCTGGCCAACCTTCTCCCCACCTTCTCTCGCCCCACGAACAAAGCCTCTCCCAGCCCATCCCTGGGCAGCCCAGCATAGCCCTTTCCCCCTCCCCCAGTTTGGAACTACAACACATCCCCATCTCACAGCCACCAGCTTACCTGGTAGGCACCATTGCTGAAGGGAGATGACCTCTGCAGATGGAGCACAAAAGGGTTGATTAAATACCAAGTGCAACTTACCTGTCACCTCATTCGTCCTCAACAAGTGTCGGTTCAATCTGGCACCATTTCAGTGCCACACCAGTCAAACCTGCCTGAAGTGACCAGAACCACCAGTTGCCATCTCTTCTTGTGATCTGCACCTCAGAGCTGAACCCGGGGGAGCTCTGGCAGTGCTTGAAGGAGCTTGGTGCAGACAAGGGTTTGCACACCCCGTGGGAGGACTTCGTTTCCAGGTTGCATCAGTTTGAAAAGCAAAGAGGGCTCTGGTGGATTTTGAAAGCAGGGATTTCATGGACACGTCCACATGGAAGTGTGTGCTTGTTGGTCAGCTGCACAGGGCATTGCTGGATTTATGCTGACACAAGGCAGCAGCATTTGCCATCTGGAAGGTGTCCTCAGCAATTCTCCATCCCCTTGGCAGGAAAGCCCCTGGGTGGCTGTGGCTGGGCAGGGCTGGTGCCCAAGCCTTGGCTCCTCACTGCCTGCTCTGTGCCCAGCCAAACAGCTCCCAAGTTCTTCAGCTGTGGGACAGGAATTCAGCTTCCAAGGTCAAAATGTCTCTCCGTGCAAGGAGCTTTCCCTGCTCCTTGGCACACTCCCACCCACGTGCTCCTCTCCATGGGGAGCTGAAAAATTCCTGGACATGTTGGACAATGAGATTGTGCCTGAGGCACCAGCAGCTGCTCCAGCAGCACGTGCTGGGAGCAGCCAGGTTTGCTGGGGACACGGGGGGGCTACAGCCCCCTTATGTTTCCTTCCATTCAGCTGGGTAATTTTTTTCCCATTAGACACCAACCCCACTGCTCCCAGTCAGCCAAGCAGGTGTTGGCACCTCATGGGAGCAGGTACTGGGGCTACCAGAGGAGCAAACTCCCCCAGTCCTGCTTGGCCAGGGTCCATCTAACTTCTGCACCCCCCTTGCTTCTCTGTTTCTCTGTTGCTCAGGGGAAAAAAATAGATAAAATAAACATTTTTATAATAGGAATAATTTTTTTCCATCAGCCTTTTTGGTCTTACAAACTAGACTCATGGAAAAAAAATAGTAGTTCCCTTATTCTTCAGAGGAAACATCTTTATTAAATATAAAACTCTGACCCAGTCTGGTTTCCAAGTGTAAATTAACTTTCTGCTTCCCTTTTGTGCAAGTGTTTTGTTCATATAGATTTTGTACAATGCAATAGGCAGCCAGGCCAGTAGACATGGCATGAGGGTACTAGAAGAAAAGAAAGGGGGAAAAAAGAAGGAAAAAATGGCAAGAAAGCTACCAATAAATCATTCCGGCCTTTCTGCAGTCAGGAAGGACTAGGGATCTGCTGATAAACTAATCAGAAAATGTGGATTTTATAAACAAAAGCAGGGAGGGTGACACCCCCAACAACACCTGAAGGGGCTCCAGGAAAGCTGGGGAGGGACTTTTTATAAGGGCTTGTAGTGAGAGGACAAGGAGTGGTGGATTAAAACTGGAAGAGGGGAGATTTAGGTTGGACATGAGGAGGAAATTCTTTGGTGTGAGGGTGGGGAGAGCCTGGCCCAGGTTGCCCAGGGAAGCTGTGGCTGCCCCATCCCTGGCAGTGTTGAAGGGCAGGTTGGATGGGGCTTGGAGCAGCCTGGGCTGCTGGGAGGTGTCCCTGCCCATGCAGGGGGGTGGATCTGGATCAAGATCCCTCCCAACCCAAACTATTCTGTGATTCTGTGACTTCCCCAAGTCCCTCTGGGGATCTGCTCACCTTTCTGCCTTGGAGCTTATCCTGCTGGATCCATCATGCTCTGAGAGATGTTCCACACCACGTTTCCTTAGGTAGATGGGGTCAATCTCTCTGCTGGATCTCTGCCTTTCCTCTTGCTTCCACAAAGCTCAGAACAAGAAGAAACCAAGGAGAGCAAAGCCACCCAGAGCACAATAAGTGGCCTTGGAAATGTCACCAACATCCCTGGATGGTTTTGCAAAGAGAAACCCCCCAGCATGAACTGTGATATCTCCATGGGCATTTGCCCCTTTCATTCTGCTTTAAAGTCATAATCACTTCTTCATCCCCATCACATGCTCCTTTTTCATCTCTCCAGTCTCCATGTCTCTTGGAAGAAGCACATAAGCCAGGATGTTGAAAGGTCCTTCATTTTTCATGGGAGGTTGAACACCCCCCAGCACTTGATCTCAGCAGAGAAGAAAAGCTCAGATTTGCCTCCCCTGCTTCTTCAGTGGCACCAGCACTTTCCAGGATTAAGCCACCTTCAGCAGCAGTGAAATAAAATAAACACAAGGGTGATTTTCTGCTGGAAACCAACATCATTTTTACAAGGCCACGTGCTGAACACAAAATGCTTTTTGGGGTTGGGAGGCCAAGGGAGATTTATGGGCCCACGTTGGAAACGCTGCTGCTTGATCTGTGTGGCCAGACCTATCTGAGGTTGTCTGGGGCTCCCACTTTGCCATTGAGCTACTCCCCAGCATTAGCAACTTTTTTTCTTTTTTTTGCCTGCTTTCATTTCAACTTTCAAAAGCCTCCTGCAAACTTCCAGAGTCAACCCTGAGCAATAACTCTCTGAACCACCAAAGGAATCAAACTGCTGCAATTTATTTCCACAGCACCGTGAGATATTCAGTGATCCACTCAATCCCTGTTTTTAACACTTTGTAAAGGCCTAAAACCCTGCAAAGAATTAATTAGGCATGCTCTGAAGCCTGGGCATTTAACAGTTTTCCACTCAGTTGTAGAATTTTAAGACCACCAACACTGGATACCAGCCAAGATTATTGAAGGTATTCTGGGCTGAAATGCACACTGGGCAAAGGGCTTGGCCATTAAGTAACTGGAACACACCTCATGAAAGCTTTAGCTGTGCTATTATGCTTTGTAAAGAAACTTTTAGGGGGAAAAAAATATCAAATCCATAGTATCTAGGAGGTTAAATTTGGGGCAGAGTGACTCATGGGGAAAGCATGCAGAGAATATTGTCTTCTGTGCAGATCAAGCCAATAGTTCGTAGAGCAGAGAAGTGTTTCTGGTGCCCACGTTGCAAAGCAGGGCTGGGAAGGGATGAAAGGGGCTTGGATTTGGGCAGGATCAAGGCCAGGGACATGGGGATGGTAGGAACCTGCTGCAGCCTTCAGCCAAGCAACACCTGGGATTGCTAGAAGCTGGGAGAGCGTGACTCTTGTTGTGCTGAACTAAGATCAAAATGTGCAATTCCAAAAAAAACCCCTGCAACCAAAATTATTTATTTATTTTTTTTCCCCCACAGATAAACATTCAGTTCCATTTTCTGGAAGTGTCCTGATTTTTTCCAAGCATTTCTGCTGCAGTATGACCAAGAAATCTACACGTGCCAAAACAGGAAGGTCCTTGCTAATCCACAACAACATGGCAGAGAACTCATTTTACACCATGTGAAACCCCAATGATCAAAAGCTCATTATTTAAGCACTCAGAAGCAGGAAGGATCCTGTACAAGACAAAGATGGTACAGCCAGCCAGGTATTTTGGACAAAAAAAAGCAAGACAGTTCAGAAGTTAAAAAAAAAACCACCCAAAAAAACCCCCAAACCAAGCAATAAGTGGCCAAAGGATTAAAAATGTTCCTATCCTTGACTAAAAACTCTTTGGAAAGCAACACGGTTTGGTTGCCTTTTTGCCCTTCAACTCCAGAATAAAAAGGACCCACCTTTCTTAACTTCTGCAGAAGTTAAGGAGAAATTTCAAGCACTGTGGACATGAAGCTGCAGGTAAAGAGAGGACATTTCAAGACCAGGTAGCCAAGGATCTCCAGATTCAGTATTTTTTCCCCTCTCACTTGTGTGCATATTGCAGATGCAAGGAGGTAATAACCCTTAGATGATCTCATAACACAGCAGATTTAATTCAGACAGCAACAGGGTACATATATATTACATCATCTTCAAGAAAGGCAGTTTTCTAAATAAAGTACAGATCAATCCACCTCACTCCCATGCAAGACAGAATGAATGAATAAACAAACCAACCTGTTTATAAACTACCCAAAGACAACAAAGGACTGACACTAATGTCAGTAAATATGTACATGTATGTGCACCCAGACACAAAACACACATCCAAGGCTAAAAGGTCCCATTTGCAGTTGCAGTGAGGTGAGTTTCCAGTGCTGGGGGAGTGAAGAGTGTCCTGCAGGTCAGAAGAAGCTGACTCAGCTCATGTCAGGACACTGCAAAAGGGCTTTTTTTCAAGTGGAAAGGAGACCTCCACATCATTGTAAAGCAAATACACCCCATTCTGTCTCTCTAACTTCAAATGAAAGCCCCAGTGTAGCAGGCAGGGTTTCTGCACACAGGAGATTGGCCCTGGAAGTCCCCAAATGCCATGGAATGGAGCATGTGAATTCCTGCAGTTTCTTTTCTTTTTATTTCAGACAGAGCTGCTTGTTCTAATTAAATACTCTTGGATCCTTCAAGGCAGAGGAAGGGGAAGAGAAAGAAAAATGTTGATGTTTGCAACGTTAAAACTCATCCTGTTGGGTTCAGCTAAGGACAAGAATTCCAACATTTACCTGGAGTTTCAAGGCAAATGACCCAAATGTGGAGATATCCATCATCCTCAGGTGCTGTCCCTGCATCTGCTCTGCAAAGAGGGTGGCACCTTCCCTGGCAGGACATCTCCACAGCAGTGAGGTTTTGGGTCCCTCTCCCTCCTGCACCTTCTAAGGAGACACATTCAAAGCTCCTCTGCCCCTGCAGCTCTCAGCTGTGCCAGGTCTTTTTGGAGACTCTTTGGAGACCACAGCACCAGCCTTCCCCATCTCTCACAGGGCTGGCATGCTCAGCTCTTGGTATCACCACTGGATTTGGAGCTTTTCCATTTTGGTTTTTTTTGAGATGAACCATTTCTTACATCTTTTTTATATCACTAAGAATGTATTTTCCCCTTGTAGCACAGCTGGGAGAAGCTGCCATCAAAAGAACTGTGTCTAGGTGTGGGACAGTCCCTCCAGTAAGACACAACACCTTATTTAATTACAAGATTTAACTCTGAACTTCACATGATTAATGTTAATGATCAAGACCCACCAGTTCCTGAGAAGAAGGAGAGATCTTTCAGCATTTCTGCTGCCCTTCCTGCAGACAGGTCCCATCATAAAACCCTCCTGGAGATGACACAGTTTTTCCTACCACACAATCTAAATGCTCCCTCCTCTTTTGTCTATCACTGCTGACTAATGAGAGGATCAGGTATCTCACCTTTCTTGCAGATTTAGACAGTTTCAGCAGTTTTCCCAGCCTGAGCAGCCTCATTTTTCCCAGACATTCCTTACAAACTCTCCCTCAGCCATGACCCTGCATTGCTGCTGCCCTGCTGGGCATCTCCCCCCTGCTTCCCAGTCAAAACCCATCACTGTGCAGTAAGATGTGTGGGTGCAAACCACTCAGGACAACTCACAGAATCACAGAATGGTGAACTGGGATGTGTTGCCCAGGGAGGTTGTTGATGCCCCATCCCTGGAGGCTTTTAAGACCAGGTTGGATGAGGTTTGTGCAACCTGGTCTCGTGGTTCCCTGCTCATGGCAGGGGGTTGGAATTTGGTGATCTTGAAGGTCCCTTCCAACCTTAATGATTCTATGGTGAAAGTGGAAAGAGACCTTCAAGATTATCAAGGTTCCAACCTCCCTGCCATGAGCAGGAAGCTCTGCCCACACCCTCCTTCCCAAGACCTGTTATTTACATCATCTACACCCACCAGACAGTCAGATCCCTCCAGGCAGCACCTCGGAAGTTTTTACCCCTCCAGAGTCAGGTCTTTCTCCGTTTGCTTCTCCTCCCCCCCAGCTGTGCTGCTGGGCTGTGGGGGGGGGAGGACACACACCGACTGGGACCGGTTCTGTTTCCCTTCCGGAACCTTCTCCGCGTCCCGCGCTGCAGGGAGAGGGAAACACCAGCTGAAAGCACCAGCTTGTGGGAGAAACCTTCTCCCTTGTGCATCAACAGGAACAAAGAAAAGCCAAGAGCTACTGAGGGGAAAGGACCATTTAAACCCTATTTTGTACTTTGAAATATCACAGAGTCCCAGAGTGGTGGGGTTGGAAGGGACCTTTGGAGACCATCTAGTCCAACCCCCTGCTAGGGCAGGATGCCCTAGAGCAGATCCCACAGGAACACATCCAGGTTTGGAATGTCTGCAGGGATGGAGACTCCACACCCTCCCTGGGCAGCCTGTCCCAGGGCTCTGGGGCCCTCAAAGTCAAGAAGGATTTTCTCACATTCAGGTCCAACCTCCTGAGCTCCAGTTTGTGCCCATTGCCCCTTGTCCTGTCCCTGGACACCCCTGAGCAGAGTCTGGCCCATCCTCCTGCCACCCCCTGGAGATACTGACCAGCACTGATCAGACCCCCCCTCAGTCTCCCTTTGTCCAGCTGAGCAGCCCCAGCTCTCCCAGCCTTTCCTCAGGCAGATGCTCCAGCCCCTTCAGCATCTCAGTGCCCTGGGATGGACTCTCTCCAGTAGCTCCTTGTCCTTTGGACCTGGGGAGCCCAGAACTGCACACAATTTGGATCAATAACATCACTCTGGTCATTTCCCACCAGCACCTTTGCAGAACAACCATCAGCAACCGCCTGAAAGTAGCTTGTCAAGATGCAGGTGTCCTGCCAGAGCACCTGGAATTTCATGTTCCCACATCCAGTGACTCAGGAGCAGGATGTTTCTGCAACCACCGTTGTGCTCACACTTTCCCCAGGGCAAAAAAAACACAACCAACCCTCCCAGGAACACTTTCCTATCACTTTGCTGGGCTGACACTCATGTTTTCCTGCAGGAAGGACATAGTTTAAACATTTATCCTAAGCTGGGGATAAAAAGAGCTACATCCCCAGCAGATGTCCATGTCATGAAGTCACCGGCACCACACCACTGGGTTCCTTCCACCTACCCTTGCAAACCTGCAGTGAGATACCTTTGTGCAGACAGGGTGCTGTAACTACTCTGCAGCTCTCTAGTTAGCAAGTTTTAATTAATTGTTCAGAGAAAATCTCAAAGAAAATATTAGAAATAGGGGAACATGAAAAGAAAACTTGCTTCTGAAATAGTTTTCTCATGCACACGTCATAAAAAATTACTCTGTATTAGACCCAGCCCCTGGACCTGTCCCAGCCCTTTAACCTGTCCCAGCCCAAACTGGGAGCCAACAACCTGATTTTTTATCCTTTCCAACAAACCCTGAATCTTTTCCACCACCACTTTTCCAGCCACGCTTGTGCCAAGAGATGTTTTGTGCCAGGTATTGCAAACACCCAGTGCTCAGTTTCCCACTGAGCATCTCACTGAGGTGCAGAGGCCAAAACTGACTCTGCCCACAGGTTTGCCCAGCTGTGTGAGGCTTCCCTGATGTGAAGTCATTTTATAGAAGTGTGAAAACTAAGCTCTCAGTTATCTAAAAATTGAGTTTGGGCTCTCAAAAACGTGAGGACTTGAGCCTCTGAGCTTCCTGCAGCAGATACTCAAAGCAGGCAGTGCTGCTGCTCGTGGGGTTTTAAAGTTCTTTTAAAGTACTTAGGAAACAACAAACACCAAAAAAAAAAAATCATCTTAATTTTTGGAAAGCATTTGGGCACAAACTTCATGTTTCCAAGTATCACTCATTTTTTATAAGGTTTTAATTTATGCATTAGCATCACCCTGGGCTGATTGATCTGCAGTCACTGCCAAACCTCTTGGTGGAACGTGAAGAACAGTCCCAGTTTCAAATGCTTTCCTGGCTGGATGTGGGAGACAAGGATGCTCTGTGTAAATTCACAGCCCCTTTAGAGCACACAGGGGATAAAGAGGTCCAACACCTGGACTGGGACACACTTCTCACTCCCATGCTTTGTCCCCTAGGGCTGGAGAGATGTCCCTGCCACCCTCCCTGCAGGCACCAACCTGCACCCCGCAGCGGCCGGGGGGGAGCACAGGAGGCTCTGCTCAGGCTGTCTCTCAAATCCCAGCCCTGCCAGGGACACACTATGGATCTCAGCACATCCCCTGTGCTGGGCCATTCCCAGGGGAGCTGAGGGATCCCCACCAGCACCCAGGCTTACCTGAGAAGGAACGGGACAGCTTGAGCTGCCTGCTGGAGTCACCCTGCGCCGAGCAGGAGTCGTCCTTCTGTGAGCAAGGAAGAAAAAGACCTCAGTGCATTGATGAAGGTTGCTAACAAGCCTGGTAGTGACACTCCTGCTTCAGAAACAAGCCATTTGCCATCCCCAGGGACTCTGCTGCCATTTGGTTTCCTTTGGCCAAGAAAAATGAAAAAGAACTGTTGCTAAACATAGGCTGGAGAGAGGGCAGGAGATATTTGCTGATTTGAGTTGCTGGAAGAGGCCTGAGCTCTCCTGGAGGGATTCAGGATGGGATGGAGCAGTCCTGCAGTGGGGAGGATGGGGCAGGAGAAGAGGGAAGCAAAGCCCACCTCCAGGACATGGGCGTTTCTCCCCTTGCCTGTCCCCATCTTGGCTGCAGGCCAAGGAGGCAGGTAACGAGCTGGCACTAACAAGCTCCCTGCCCTTCCACTCCAGGGCTGATCTCCAGCCTTTGGGAAAACAAGAAATAAATACATTCAAAAAATAAAAATGCTGCCTGCATTGTTCAGTGCTTCTGTAAACTGGGAATAAGCCTCTTATGTAGCTGTGATTTGGCATCACAGCCCAGAAGCCCAGACTGCCAAAACAGCTCTGGACACGTCCCAGCTTGGTTGGCTGGTTTGTTTCAGTTCCTTCTCCTCCCTCCCCTAACCAGGCCTGATGGCCTCCATCCCTTGTTCCCACTTTTATTGGCCATTTCCATAACAAAGCCTTCCTTCCCAGCTCCAGCAGCAGCTCCTGGCTCCCTGGAAAGCCATTCCCAGGGGCTTTTAGCCATTCTCAGGGCACGCTCCATGAAAGGGCTCCCACATCATTACCCAAGGCAACATGTCATGCACACACATGGCTCACAGGCAGCCCCAAATAAGCTCCTCCTGGGGGAGTGTGCTCGTGTTTTGGCAGAAGAAAAGAGGACCAAGTTGCCTGGCTACAGGTGCAAGGATTTTCTGGGTGCTGGGTGGGCAAAGAAAAGCTATCCCGGGTCTCACAGCCTGTCCCCTCAGTGTCCCCTGTGTTGGATCCTTGCCTGAAAGCAGGCAAGCCCAAAATCTGGAGAGCATTCAGGGCCAGCACGATGCAGGAAGCAGCAGCCTTTGGCAGGAATTTTGTCCTTAGGCAGAGGAAGGAGAACTTTCTGCTGGGAATAGAGAGTCTTGGAGTTCACCCTCTGGGCAACGATTCCAATCTGAAGTCACCTCGTGGTCCTGCCAAGGGTTTTCTGCCTGGTGTAAATCATTTAACCTGCACCTTTGGCTCCAGGGGGGGTGAGGATGGTTCTTTTCTTCCCTCTTGTCCCTGCCTTCCCTCTGCAACCCCTTGGGCTCCTGAGGCAGCCCAAGAACCATCTCACTGCTGGAAAAGCAAAGTGGCAACAGAGCCCCAGGGCACCTAGAGCCACCCAGGCTGGAGAGAAGAGGTGACCCACCCTGGCTGGAGCCTGGTGTTGGCCATGGACCAGTGCCTGGCCTGCCCAGGGCACTGGTTTCTCCAGGCTGACAGTGGAAGGAGATGGATTGTCCATCAGGTGAGATGAACTTCACCCTTGGCTCTTGCCCAGCCTGTGGTGCAGCCAGAGATGGAGAGAAAGATGCTCTTCCAGACATTCCTTATTTTGGGGTGACTGATAGAGGGGGAAAAACACCAACCAGCACCTAATAATTTAGCAGATTAACCAAACTGAGCTACCACAGCTTCCTATTTTAACAGCGAGTCACTAAGCAACTTCAATTAAAAAAGAAATACATATATATTCAATTAAATATTATTAAATATCTATTTCATTTTAAATTGGATATATTTTCAAATATATACTATATATATTTATATATTCTTGAATACATTCAATTAAAATATCCATTTAATGAATATAGAATAAATAAATATATTTAATATTCTCTATATTCAATTTAAAATAAATATATATATGCATATAGGTATATATAGATATATGCAGGCAGCCAGTGAGAAGTAAACACAGTGTTTTTTACTGACCCAAAGGGATTTTTAAAATTATTCACTCAGCTCATAACACCCAACTGATGGGAGGTATCCCTCAAACTTCTTCTCAAGTGGAAGAGCCGGGGATGTTTCACCAGCAGGGTGGGTTTCCAGCAGCCCTTTGCCTGGAGTTGGTTTTCCCAGCTCCTGCATTCACAGCCGGGTTTGCAAACACAGTTGCAATGCTCCCATCTCGTGGTGAAACGCAGAACAGAACCACGTTTGCCTGGTTGGTTTTTTCACTTCTTGCTGACTCAGAACCTGTAATCCCAACCCCTTCCCTCCGGGACTACAAAAGATGGAGTGTGTGACAATTAGGAGCCCAAAACCACCAACCAGCTCTCATTTTTTAACCAGGAAAATGCCATTTTTTTTTGTCAACTGAAACCAAATCTGAACGGCTTCATTATTTTTTTTCCCCCCAGAAATGATAAGCACTGAGCTGTTTTTAAGGGGCCAAAATCTACTTTTTTTTTAGCACAAAGTTCCTTATTTTCTGCTGGCAAATTCTGCAACCTGTTCTCCTGCAGTGGGAATTAACAGAGCTCCCCCACCCTCCCACCTCCTGTCAACATCCCAGGGCTCCCACAGAACATTATCCCCTCATTTTTGGGGTACCCCCTGATTTCTATTGGCACCAGCCACGAGTCACTTGAGAGGTAGAGAGAATCCTGTGTTGTTTTTGCAATTATCCCCCCAAATATTCTCTCCAGCTGCAAAAGCATTCCCAGCCACAGGAGAAAGGACCTTCCTCAAGGTGCTGATTTCCCTCCCAAATGCACCTTCTCAGAGCAGCAGCTCGAGGGTTAAAAATCAAATGCAACGTTGTTCTCAAAACCAGCCCGAGTTTGATGCTGTTCTTTTGAAGTTTAATTATACCCAACGTTCTACAGGAACATGCCATGTTCTTGCCTATCTGTTTTGAGTTGTAGGTACCAACCAGCATGTAAATGATCAGATTAAATCTTTCAAGTTGCTTGCAAGAGCCAGGACCCCTTTTCTGTGAATGAAGGGCTGAGAAGCAGCAGCATTTGGTGTCTTGCTGCCTTTCTTGATGGGCTCCTCCATGACTGGCATTTGAACAAAGAAATTGGGAGTGGAAGAAAGCCCATGGCAGTTCCCAGTTCTTCTGCTGTCCTGGAAAATTACTCTCTAAATAAAGAAAGATAAATGGTTTCTCTTCAAAAAGGTCATTCTGCTCTCCTCGGTGGTGCAGTCTGGCTGCAAAGGTTGGAGATCACAGGCTGCACTCGGGCAGTGCTGGAGCTCAAGGCACCAAAACCTCAAGATTTGGGGAGGTGGGTGAAATGCAGGGATGGCTCAGCAGCTGCTGCTGCCCACCTGGGGGCCTGGCAGCAAAATGCTTCTCCTCCAGAGCAAGACGTGCAGAAGGTGGGAGGGACTGATAAGACCATGCACGCTCCTCCTGCCCCATTCCTGGAGCATGTCATCTCTCCAAGGGGTCATGTTGGCCAGGCTGATTTCCAAAGGAGTCAACAAAAAGTCCTCACCAGCCACAGGCAGAGTATTCACCTTCTTTCTCCTCCCATTCAGAAGGTGAACACCAGGGAGCTGTGCCAGCAGGGAATTTGGCCTCCGAGTGGTTCTCCCAGGAACCCAGGATGCAACACTTGCCTCTATTTTACTTTCTTCAAGTCTGCCCAGAACTGTGGCTGCTTTTAAAAACAAAAAAAAAACAAAAACACTTCACCTCCAGATTAAATAGGAAAGCTCACAATAAAGCTTCTGTCCTCTCAAAAGAGTTGGGGGGTTGAAAACAAACACGGAGCAGCTTCAAGTATTTACGGTCCATCTGGACTGCTGACAATGGGGGAACCAAACTCCCACCTCCAACAAAATCTCCCAGAAAAGAAAACATGGGCAAAAAAACAGACCTCTGAGGCTGCTGACTGAAGCCCAATTAATAACATTTGCTCGGTAATTAACTTTCCTGGTGTGGCTGGCAGCCTGTGCTCACAGAGCGTGGAATGACACTGCGCCCGAGACAGCTCGTTTGTTTGCCAGGCGTGAGGGTGGAGTTGTTGGGGTTGGGTTTTTTCCCCCCTCAGTGCTTCCTACTCATTGGAATGATCTTTAGGATTGAGAGGTGGGGGTTTTTTTTGTTGGTTGGTTTGGTTTTTCAAGGCAACAGGGTTCATCTTTGAAAGGCAATCCCAGCAGCAACGCAGAGTAGGTAGAAGCTGTTATCCCTGCAGCCCGTGCACGGTCTCTGCAGGTTCCCTGCTCCCTCTTACCTCCTTCCCAGAGCTGGCTGTGTCACTTCCACTCACTTCCACCCACAGGTTCTTGTGCCGGAGGATCAGGAGCTCCTTGGCCTGCTCCACGGGCTCGGTGTCCCCAGGAAGGGTGTGCCTGTTGTAGGCTGGTCCCTGCACATGGCACCAGAGAGAGATGTCGGTGGAGGTGGGACCATCCATCCCTCTCCACATCCCTGCCCTAGAGCCTGCCTCTTCCAGGGTCCTTCACCCCCCCTGCAGCCACCATCCTGCCTAGTTGGTGGGATCAACTGATCCACCCAAGTGTGAGAGGTTGGGAAGGGGGGAAAGGAGCCAAGGAGGGCAGAGGAGACTCCAATGTTTTATCTTAGCCCCACCTCCACAAGTCATTCACGCAAGAGCATCACCAGGAATGCTGAATCCTGCAGCACAGGTGTGAACTGGCCAAAGTGAAACCTCCCCCTGGCTCTGGGACAGCTGCTGGGTTTAGGCAGCAGTGCAGACTGGAGATGTGCCTTCACCTCCAGCCCATCCACCACTTCTACTGGTTTCCTCCCAGCCACATCTACCTGCTTCTCTCAGCAAAAGGGACAGGAAGGGGTGGTGGGTCCCTTTGTGCTGAGCCCACACCAGCTGCATCTCCAGGGACTCAGCATTCCACGTGTCATCCATAAACCATTTTTGAAGGCCATTTGGAAGGCTTGGAAGGACAAGGCTCCAGGTCTGCCCCCCTGAGCAGCGATGCCAAAGCACAGCCCGAGGTGCTGTGTGAAACCTCAGGCAGGTTAGTCCTGAACCACCACGTAAACAGCAAGTGGCTGCTGTGCTATTCACCAGTTGCACCAGTTCCATGGGAATTCTCACTCCCAGCTCCCTGGCTGTGCTCCCCACTACGGAAAAAAAATCCCCAGAAGCAAGATGAGTGTAACCCCATCCCTGCCCTGCAGGTAACCAGGAGCTGCTGCAGCTTCTGGATCTGCTGCCTGAAGATCCACCTGCTCCTCCTTTCCTCTTTCTGGTTCTGGGTACTGATGCCTAAAATAACTGGGGGAAATTATAGGCTGACTGGGTGAACCTTTCAGAAGCTGTCAGGCTGCAAACAGAAACGTGCCACTGACTTGGAAAGTGGAGCTGGCTTCACACAGCCAACTATTCACTGCTCACAAAGAGACATCAGGAGTAATTATGGGAATATTCATCACATCTGCTCAGGCTGGTAGGATAACTGAGATAACTTTTGTTCTTGGACATCTCAAATACAGATGGAGGGGAGAGTTTTACCCTTCTCCTGATTCGGTACAGGTTTCTTGCCAATATTTCCTGTATGTTTTCCAGGACATCAGGATTCAGAGTGTCCTCCAGGTTTTTGTCTGTTGTGACAGTCCTGTCGTGGTTGCTGCAAAGAAAACCAAAGGGCCTTGTTTCAGAAGGTGCACAGCAGCACAAGCAGTGTCTCCCCAAAGCTCCTTTGGATCCCACCACCAGCAGACAGGACCACCAACTGATCCTTGGAGCCCAGGGCAAAAGGGAGATTTGTGGCAGAGTGGTGCCATCCCTGTGCTCCTGGGGAGATAAAAGAGCTGTGGGGAACTGTGGCAGAGCAGAACCATCTGTGAGAGATGAGATGGTCATGTTGGCACACAAATATTTGACCTTACTGCCTCAGCCAATGTTCATGCTCACTGTTGGCTCCCTTGGTGTGTGGAATGTTGCAAAGCCATCCAGAAATGGTCAAAGCCACCCAGAAATGGTACAAAGCCATCCAGAAATGGTACAAAGCCACCTAGAAATGGTGCAAAGCCACCCAGAAATGGTACAAAACCATCCAGAAATGGTACAAAGCCATCCAGAAATGGTGCAAAGCCACCCAGAAATGGTACAAAGCCATCCAGAAATGGTACAAAGCCACCAGAAATGGTCAAAGCCACCCAGAAATGGTACAAAAACACCCAGAAATGGTGCAAAGCCATTGAGAAATGGTCAAAGCCATAGAGAAATGGGGCAAAGCCATATAGAAATGGTGCAAGCCTCTTCCTCTGAGCACTATTTTTTGATGGCTCTGGAAGGACAAGCCTCCCCACAGGAGCTGAGCCTCCATGTAGAAGGTCAGAAGAAAGTGTTCATCAATTGCTCATCCAACTGCTCATCTTTGCTACCTACCTCCTCTTTAGCAGGCAGGTATTAAAGCACCTTTCCAGAACCACAGAATTGTCACAGCTGGAAAAGACCTCTAAGATCACCAAGTCCAACTGCCCCCCCAGGAGAAGTAAAACAACAACAACAACAAAAACCAACCAAAATTAAAACCCTAAATAAACCAAACACCACCCACCAGAGCATGTCCTGAAGTGCCTTGTCTACACACTTTTTTTCATCCCTCCAGGGATGGTGACTCCCCCACCTCCCTGGGCAGCCCATTCCAGTGCCTGACCACTCTTCCCACACCCTTCCAAGTCAAGAAGCTCTTCCTAACCCCCCACCTGCTTCCTTCATCTTGGCCCAAGCTATGTTGCTCCTTCCCACGGGACAGCCCAGCAGGGAGGAGCAGAGGAGGCAGAGAACTCAGCAAAAGCTTTTCAGAACTGTCCCCTCTGGTGGGAGGAGTGACAACAAGGGGTGCAGGGCAGGGGGGGACACTGGCAGCAGGGAGGGGTGGGCTGGGGTGGGCCCCAGCTGCCCTGCCTCTGCCAGCTGGATGGCGTGTTTGCGCTCCAGCTTCTCGTAGAGCAGCACGATGCTGGACTTGGGCTGGTCACACTCCCTCAGGAGGATCTTCTGCAGGTATTTGCTGTTGAAATACTCCAACCTGAGAACAAAACAAGACAGGCTCAGCCTCCTCCCACAGCTCCCCAGCACCTAAATGGGGCCGAGCAATCCAGCAGGTTCACAGCCCACAGTCGCTCCGGCCCCCTCTTCCCTTCTTTCCAGAGATCAATGAGCCACAAGGGCAGTACATGAGCTCTGACTTTTTAACTTGGCCAAATACCAGAAAAACTCCCCCAAAGTGACAGATTTCTCACGAGCTCCACTGAAAGTGCTGCAGGTGATGCAACCTGCAGTAGCCCCAACAGATTGAAACACTTCCAGGTTCTGCTTTGAGCCATTTCCTCTCAATTCCTGCTCCAGTGCAGCACGTTTGGGAAAGACCCATCTGGTATCAAATCCTGACAGTTCATTTTGGCTGTTCACAAACCTGCTCACAAGAAGCCAGGATGCTCCTTGTGGCCATTCCCAGTGGCACTTCCAAGCACTGGCATTCCTAAGGAAATCCCTGCCAGCTGCAGTTGTGAGTCCTTGCAAGGAAGGTGTCTGCATAACCAAGGAGCTCAACCTGGCAGATTGCTATTAGTATAGATCATATGGATCATAAGGCCCATCTATATGGACCTGAAAGATCACCTAGATCCAACCCACCAGCCCAGGCTGCTCCAAGCCCCATCCAACCTGCCCTTCAACACTGCCAGGGATGGGGCAGCCACAGCTTCCCTGGGCAACCTGGGCCAGGCTCTCACCACCCTCACACCAAAGAATTCCCTCCTCATGTCTCACCTCAATCTCCCTCTTCCAGTTTTAATCCATCCCCCTTGTCCTCTCCCTCCCTGCCCTTGTCCCAAGTCCCTCCCCAGCTTTCCTGGAGCCCCTTCAGACACTGGAAGGTGCTCTAAGGTCTCCCTGGAGCCTTCTCTTCTCCAGGCAATATTTTTTAATTTTATGTCCTTTGTATTTTTTAAAAATCTCCTCCATCAACAATCTAAAGGAACCTCATGAAAACCTTTGCTACAGAAACCTGCAGAGTTCTGCTATAATTTCTCAACCCAAAACCAGCAGCTGCTCCTCCAAGAGCTGAAAGCTTCTATTTTTAATGTGAACTGTGCACAAACTGGGTTGGGCTCCTCAGCACCTGCCCAGCCAGGCAGGCAGGAGAGCAGGGACCCTGAGCTGTGCATTGTGCTCTTCATTTCCAGCAGATTTCTTTGGGCAAGAAGAGAAAAAACACAAGAGGAGAGGACAAAGGAGGTTTTTTAGGGTGAAGTACAAAACACAATGTGCAGGCAGGGAATGAACAGGTATGAACAAGGCTCAGCTGCCCTGAGTGGAAACGTAGGGAATAGAAACCAGCTTCATTTTGTTCTACACGTGTACACAGTTGTATTTTGGCAAATCCTTACTTGTCTTTCCAGTAATACTGTCCCCAGTGACCAGATATATCTTCAATGCCAGCCAGCAAATGATCCAAGAACTAAACAGAAGAGAGGATTTTGCTGTACACCCATTGCATACGTGATGAGCCCAGCCAGCAAACATCAACAAGCCATCAAACAAACCAGGAGATGTTTCCAGCTTGGTCCACAGAGCCAGGAAACAATAAGAAGGGATGTGGGGCTAATTCCCCATCCAGCCATCCACTCGTGTCCCTCAGTTCTGGAGCACAACAAGGGGTTTGGCTGCTTATTCTCCGGTCCGGCCAAGCAAAGAATAAGCACTGAGGGAGGTGGGTCTGCTCTTGGTGACACGTGAAGGGTGGCTGGTGGCTTTGCATGCCCTGCATTTTGGGCTGTGAGAGGCAGGAAAGGTCCCTAGTGAGGATTTTGAGGACAATTTGTCTCAGGAGATCAGTATCTTCAGGATATGGATGAAGATCACGTACAAATGACTTGAACAAACGCTGCCTCCCCCAGACACTTCCCATGAGATTGCCCATGTTGTGTCTCACACCAAAAACATTCTTATGATTATTTCATACTATATGAAAAGCCCCAGACAGGATGATTTCTCCACCTAGGAGTTAACCCTCTGTCATTTCCCAAAGTGTTCTCTCTGAACTGGGAGAAGGGCCCTGCTCTCCTCTGGGTCAATGTCCCTCCACCTTCAGGTACCAGCGTCCCTAGAACTTCCTCCAGCTCTGATGTTTTAAAAAAAATTACTTTTTATGGGGTCAGAGATAGAAAAATTTCCAAGTGGTTCACTCAGCCCTGGGACAGGTTGAGTCCTCACCTTGTCACCAGCAGCTGCATGGTCTGAGGAGCAGCAAATGACATCCCCTCCACACTCATCCTGGTGAACAAGAACGGCCCGACTACCCAGATGGAGAAATAATTTGAGGGAGAAAGTTGCTTCTGGCATTTGTGTCCCTCATTTCCACCTGTCTGCATTGTCATCTTCTCAGCTTCCCTGGGACGTAGCCATTTGCAGCTCAGGTTTCCCAATAAACACATTTCCAGGGATGATTTACTGTTCACACCCCACCCAAAGAAGAAACACTCTCTGCTCATGACAAGAAGAGACTCTTCAGCCCAGGGAACTGCTCCATTCACCTCAGACAAAGCCCTGCAATCTGACCTGGTTGTGAGGCTGCCAACCAGTTCTTGGTCCTCAGACCTCGTGGCTTTATTTCTACCTTCCCAAAAAGAAGAGCAAGATACACCTGGAGGAGCCAAACTCCCAGAAATGGCATAAAGAGGTGCAGAAACACAACTTCAGACTGGAGGCAGCTGCAAATGCAAAAGCCTCAGGTGGGTGTGCAGGACCCCCTGCTTTCTCATGGACTTGACCCACTCTCTGAAGTCCTCTGCAAGTAGAAAGGCCAACCTTTGGATGGTGAGAGCAAGGTGAATTAAGTTCCACCTTTGGATTATGGATTTAGAATCATCAGATGGTTTGGAAGGGACCTTAGAGTTCATCTAGTTCCAACCCCCCTGTCATGGGCAGGGACACCTTCTTCCACCAGACCAGGTTCCTCAAAGCCCAGTCCAACCTGGCCTTGAACACTTCCAGGGAGGGGACACTGAGTGAGTGATTCCTTCCAATCTACTCCTAATCATACCCTCCCTTTTCTACTTATTTATTTCTTTTCCAAAAACCTCCAGACTGATGGTGGTGAAGTGACTGGTGATCACAACCCCAGGAGACACCAAGTCATGTTTTCTTTCTTTTGCTCCTTCTAGAGAAGCAGAAAACTGGAGTTATGGCAGAGTGGAAACTTTTGGGCGAGGGATTAGCTTTTCCTATCATGTTTGGGCACCACTGAAGGCAGCCCCAGCCTCAGCTCTTCCCATGCCAACCCTACCCCATGGTTAGGAAGCTACATAGGACTTCAAATCTGGAAAGGGACTGACCTGTAGAAGATGCAGGTAATACTGCAGGGTTGTCAACTCCCTAAAGACACACCAGACACCAGAAGGACCACGTTGCTGTCAGCAAAGCACAGTGGGAAGCCCTGGTGCAGCACTTACCCGGATGTGGATCTGCTCCCCCACGGTGGGAGCACTTTCCCTTTCCCTCTTGACAGCCAACAAGTCAACGAGAGGCCGGATGGTCATTCCCTGCAGCACAACCACAGCATCAGCCTTGCTGCACACCCAGAGCTTCAACAGGAGCTCACACACAGGCTCAGCAGAAATGCACCACTCTCCTCATCTGGAGCCTCCAAGACCACACAACAAGGCAACCAGGGATGTCAAGGTCAAGCCCGTGGAGATCACGGGAGGAGAGAAGGCAGAGGGACAGTGGCAGGAAGGGAGAGCATGAGGGCTCAGGGGACAAACACCACCACCAAACCAACCACTTTTGTTTAGAATCATGTGGGGAAGAAAAGAACAGCTTCCCACACCAGTGCTTGTACCTAGCAGATGGACCTTCCAACCTGCAAAGCCCAAAAGCCTGGAGGGAGCCTTCAGCCCTCACAGCACGAGGCCTCCACCAGTTCTATGTCACACCTCATTACTCCAACCCTCCTTGGTGGTCAGCCCATGGCTAAGTTTGCTAACCAAAGTACCCACCTGGTGGGAAGGGCCAAGGGAAGAGTTTTGATGACCTTTGAGCCTCATAAGGGAACTTCTAAAACGCTGCTCGGTGCATTTCTTAGTCTGGCTTTGGTGTGACATGACTTTTCTGGGACAGGTTTACAGCAAAAATGATGGAGTAGTTGATGTTTACGGCTCCTGAATGTCACAAATGCTGGCACAGAGGAGACTTGCACACATTTTTAATTGCAGAGCCAATTAATGTGTCATTTTAATAGCTAAGGGCAATAAAAAATGCATCATTATTCAGGGGAAACAACATAAACCTCCCAAATTCAGAGATAACAGATAATACAGAAGCTGAGACTCTGCACTTTGGTCTCTTGCCTTTGCTGGATAATCAGCAGTAGCTGTTTTCATTTTAAAAGGGGTGTTTTGGAGTTTTGTGACCAGGACTGTCAGATTTAGAAACATCTGAATTGCTTTGGCCCCTCCTGACCTCAGGGACATGTTGGGAATCCCAAAGTGTCATTTTTGGGTCCTTGTCACTTCCCTGCACACCTGTAGGTCCCACTGGTGCTTCTCCACCCACCAGGGGTGACTCATCTGAAGAGCATCACCCAGTGCTGGCAGCTCCATCACCACACAAAATGGTTCCTACCACCAGTGATCCAGTAGTTAATGGGTCATTTTAGGCAGCAAATGAAAAAAAAACAACAAAGAAAAAAGCCAAACTTAAGACCAAACCCACCACTCTCCACAACTTCTGTCTTTACTAACAGTTTTGCAGAGGTCAGAGGTCAACAGGCTGAGAGAGTGAACTTCAAAGGGAGAACATGGTCTTTCACTGCTCAGCTGCACTTAAAGGCAGAACAATGAGGGCTTTTTGTGACATTCCAGACAAGCCCACAGCTCCTTGGAGGACTTTCTGGTCTGTGTGGTGTAAATCCAGGCCTTCCTGGAAGCCCTGAGGACTTGACAATTGCTCAGTTTACATTCTCAGAATGATTAACCAGACTTGTTGTGGGAAGGGCTTTATGGAACTGAGTTAGAAAGGCCAAACGAGATGAGTTTCCTGGGTTGTTCTGCACTGACAGACACTGACAAGCCCAACTGCTCCCACCTTGGTCAGTAATCTGTGCAGCACGGGGCTTTTCAGACAGCATGGGCAGGAATTGGAAGAACATGAAGTGAGTTTGTGCCCCCCCAACAAAGGCTTCTCAATCCTGCACCCATGGCTGTGGCTTGGACACATTTGCAAGCCCAGGTTTCTGAAGGTTCACCTCCTCTCCTCCTTCTGTTGGGTTTAGCTAAGTTGCCAGGGCTGAGCTGCAGCAACATCTGCTTCAACTTTTAAGCAGGTTGATCCTCCTCCCACCCAATTCTCATGGTGGTCTGAGCTGCAGGGACCTGGAGCCTGGGCAAAGTCTGTCACTGCAGGTGCCATGTGCAGGGATGGGACATCAGGAGCTGCAGGAATGGGACACCAGGAGCTGCAGGGATGGGACACCAGGGGCTGCAGGGATGGGACACCAGGGGCTGCAGGGATGGGACACCAGGGGCTGCAGGGAGCTGGGACACCAGGGGCTGCAGGGATGGGACACCAGGGACTGCAGAGGTGTCACCACTAGATGTCCCAGCAGTGCCAGGAGCTGCAGCTCAGCAATTCTCACAGCTCAGCCTGTACCTAAGGAGGAGAAACCCTCTCACCCCAACACCCCTGGAGAGCAGCTGAAGGACCCATGACGTCCCAGAACATCTCCCCTCCCAGGTCCTGTCCTTGCCCCGGCAGCTGCAGGAGGGGTCGATACTTCCCTGGAGCAGCCCGGGCTGCTCCTGCTTTCCTGGGGGATGGGGCTGTCAGAAACACAGGCAGCAGGGATCAGGGGGAGGAGGAAATAGAAGAAGTGGGGGAAAAAGAACAGTAAAAATAAATAAATAAATAAATGGATAAATAAATAAGAAACTGATAAAAAGAAAATTAAGGGGGGAAATTTATAAAAAGCATGAG